TAAAAGGTCTCGATGAGTGCAACATCAAAATGAGCTTATATCTTTAAAAATATCATTAGGTGATGAGATACAGTGTAATTTCTTAATTATTGATGGTCATTTCTTAATTATTGACATTTTTAAAGATATAAGCTCATCTCGATGTTACACTCATCAAGAGCTTTAATTTGAGTACCCATATGCATTTTTGATATATTTTTCATATATACATATATATAATATATATATATAAATATATGAAAAATTGATGTGGGTACTCAAATAAAAGGTCTCGATGAGTGCAACATCAAAATGAGCTTATATCTTTAAAAATATCATTAGGTGATGAGATACAGTGTAATTTCTTAATTATTGATATTTTTAAAAATATAAGCTCATCCTGATGTTACACTCATCGAGACCTTTCATTTGAGTACCCACATGCATTTTTGATACATATTTTGTATATATGATATTTGATATATTTGTGATATATATAAAATATGTAAAAAATGCATGTGGGTACTCAAATGAAAGCTCTTGATGAGTGTAACATCGGGATGAGCTTATATCTTTAAAAATTTCAATAGTTCAAAATATACAAGGCAATTTCTTAATTATGTATCTCGAGATATTTTCGAATGTAGCCTATATCATAATTTTCGTCCTAGGCGGACGTATGGAGGTTTTTACGCGCAGACGACACTCAATTTGTAAATAATACGCGTACGCGCGGGTGGACATCAATGACCCATAATCCAATTGCCCAGACGTAGTATTGGACACAATTCTTTTACCCAGATTTCTATGATACAGTGCATCTTTTACCCAGAGTTTCAATGATACAGAATTTCTATTACACAGGCATCCGATAACACATAATATCTTTTACTCAATAATTCATTTACACAGGTTTCTTTTGCCCAAACTCTTCAATTTGATCTCAGAAGTTTTTGCAATAAATAGCGCAGGCATAACTAATTATAATTTGAAAACATTTTTTTTTATTTCAACAATTAACAAATCCGAGCCGCCTTATTTTTCTGTAACATTTGTTTAACTCCTGGGCCATTCCATGTCAGATCGACCCCTTTCTATCAAAGTTCTGTCAAAAGAAAAAAAAAATATTTTCAAAAAATATGCAAATTGAAAATTTTGTGATTTTTACAGTTTTTGAATTTCATTTTTGTAATATCTCGAACGCTATATTATAGATACAGGAATGGCCTTTCGTTTGTTTAAAAAGGAACACTTGGTGATATTGAAAAAAAAAAATATTTTGGAAAAAAATTTTGAAAAATGTCAAACAAATTTTGAATTTTTGAAAATCGTCAAAAATGACGATTGACATTAAAATTTTAGCTTAGTTTTTTTTTGTATAATACCTTGTACTGATCCTAAAAAAATTTTTTTTTATTTTTTTTCTTTTGGCAGAATTTTGTTATATGATAAAAGAAAACTTCAGACCAAAATTTGTCCGAATCGAAAAGGGGTTGATTCCAACTATCGATCGATTTGATATGGAATGATCCAGGAGTTGAACAAATGTAACAGAAAAATAAGGTGGCTCGGATTTGTTAATTGTTGAAATAAAAAAAATGTTTTCAAATTATAATTAGTTATGCCTGCGCTATTTATTGCAAGAACTTCTGAGATCAAATTGAAGAGTCTGGGCAAAAGAAACCTGTGTAAATGAATTACTGAGTAAAAGATATTATGTATTCTGGGTAAAAGATGCACTGTATCATAGAAATCTGGGTAAAAGAATTGGGTCCAATACTAGGTCTGGGCAATCAGATTATGGGTCATTGATGTCCACCCGTACGCGCCAGTATCTACTGGGCTGTATAGAACTTTATACAATCGAGGACAATGTCACGCAAGCGTCACCAATCTCTATACAGCCGAGTAGCTTACGTTTCAACTGTCATTTTAAATTAAAAAGTGCACCTTTGACTAACTTCAAGACTTTCATGTATTTTTATTTAGAGGATTAGAGGGTTATCGCGTCGTACGCTATGTATTTATAAATTGAGTATCCCCTGCACGTAAAAACCCGCATACGTCCGCCATAGGACGAAAAATTTTTTAAGCACCATGGGCAAGCCACGCGCAAATACGGTCTCGGCGATAATTATTTGCAGCAGGGATATAAAGCCTCGGGCCTCGGCTTTATACTATCCCTGCTGAAAATACTTATCACCTCGACCGTATTGGCGCGTGACTCGCCCAAGGTACATAAATAACTAAAATTGACTATGGGTGAGAATGATATGAAACCTTGAAAAGGCACAAATTCAAGTCAAGACTTTTGCAATGATACTAAATTTCACTAAAAAAACAGATTTTATCATATGACTATCTGAGAGACGAAATTTTTCTTATTCTCTTAATGATATAGATTACATTAATTTCCGAAAAAAAATGTTTCTACACCCTTATGACATCTATAACTTAATATGTCAATAAATAAATTAAAAAATAAAATTATTTTGTATATTACAGTGAAGCTGATGTCGCAGTATTCGACGCAGGAGATGTTTACACAGGTGGATTAGTGTACAACCTCGTGCCGTTTATGTCCGAAGTGTACAACTTAGGAACTCCTGACTACTACGTAGTGGCCGTGGCGAAAGAAAACGACCAGGCAACTGACATAACATACCTGAAGAACAAGTACACTTGTCACACTGGAATCAACCACGCAGCAGGTTGGATTTACCCATTAGCGTACATGATTTCCAACAAGTGGATCCGAGGATACGGATGTGACTCAATCCGCGCAGCAGCTGAGTACTTCACCAAATCCTGCGTTCCGGGTGCTTTGAGTAACGAGTACAACATCGGTGTCCCTTACGACAACATGTGTGACCTGTGTCACGGATTGAGCAGACACTATTGCCGCCGTGACGCTTCTGAAGCGTACTTCGGACACAGCGGGGCTCTTCGGTGTCTCGTTGAAGGCGGCGGTGACGTTGCCTTCGTCAAGCACACGACAGTCTTCGAGAACGTCGACGGCAAGCGCAGAGAATTTTGGGCCCGGAACACTTTCAAGAACGACTTCCAGCTCCTCTGTCCTGACGGAACGCGCAAGTCGTCCGACGAATACGAGACTTGTAACCTGGGTAAGGTCAAAGCCAACGCAATTGTCGCACGTGGTGGAGAGTACGGCTACAACGAAATAGAGATCAATGCCTACATAAATTTATTTGTCTACGCTCAGCAATTTTATGGTCGCAAAGAAGCTGATGAATTCAGCTTCAGTATGTTCTCCAGCACTCCGCCGTATACGGATCTTATTTTCCAGGACGCGACCCAGCAATTGGTTATTATTCCAGAAAATATGAGAGAGTACAGCAGGTACCTAGGGCCGGATTTCATGCGCGCTAAGAGAATCGTCGACTGCGCTGCTGGTGCCAGTGCTACTGAATTTTCTATCCTTGCTTTATTGAGCGTAGGAGTCGCTTTAATTATTAGTAGATAAATTTTAAATTTTCTAGAGAACAACTAGGGATAAGAAATTTTAAGAGTTATTTAATAAGACTTTGAAGTTCTATAGAATAATAATTTTTGATACTGTCCATTGAAATTTTTAGGTAAGGTTGTAAGTAGTTTAATGACTTATACAAGTGAGGTTAATTATTTAATTTTTACTCGATTTAAAAAAATTTTTTTTTTATGTAGATCTGTTCTCACTTTATACAGTTGTAATTTTTTATTTTTTTTTACAATATTAAGAATTACTGAAATTCTTTAAATTTTTATAAAAAAAAATATCTTTAAAAATTCACACATAATTTTTTAAAATTTCTACTTGTAGAAATTTTTTTGATGAATTTTTTTCAAAGTAATTTAATTTTTATAATAATCTAAAAAATCAATTTCTTTAAATTTTTATAATGACCAGTACAAGTGAGGTAAAATTAATTATTTAATTTTTATCCGATTTTAAAAATTTTTTTATATAGATCTTTTATCTCACTTTATACAGTTGTAATTTTTTATTTTTTTTTTTTTAAATATCAACAATTAGGTACTGAAATTAGCAGAAATTTTACGATTCTTGAATTTTTTATAAAAAAAAAATATTTTTAAAAATTCACATAATTTTTTAAAATTTCTACTTGTAAAAATTTTTTGAATGAATTTTTTTTTAATTATAATTTAATTTTTATAAAAATCTAAAAAATTAATGTCTTTAAATTTTAATAACATTTAGTATAATAATTTTTGATACCGTCCATTAAAATTTTTAGGTAAGGTTGTTAGTAGTTTATTGACTAATACAAGTGAGGTACAATTAATTATTTAATTTTTATCTGATTTTTTATATAGATCTGTTTTCTCTCTTTATACAGTTGTAATTTTTAATTTTTTTTTTACAATATTATCAATTACTGAAATTAGCACAAATTTGACAATTCTTGAAATTTTTTTTAATTCACACTTATAATTTTTTTAAATTTCTACTTGTAGAAATTTTTTGGATGAATTTTTTTCATAGTAATTAAATTTTTATAAAAACCTAAAAAAATTTTTAAATTTCTGCTAAATTTCAGTATCATTATTACAATAATTAAAATAAGTGCGAAAATATCATAATTTTAAAATTGAACAGAGTTTTATTAACATTTTAAGAATGAATTTTTATAAAAATTTTATTTACAAAAATATTTGTAGAACAAAACATTTATTAATTGTTTTATATATTAATATATTTATACACGATTCAATGTACTCATAACTGCCGTCCATTTAAATTTTTTGTAAGATATATTAATTTTATTTTATTTCTTCATTTTAAAATTGAACAAAATTTTAAGAATGAATTTTTATAAAAATTTTTATTTACAAAAATATTTGTAGAAGAAAAAATTTATTAATTGTTTAATATATTTATACACGATCCAATGTACTCATAAGTGCCGTCCATTAAAATTTTTTGTAAGATATATTAATTTTATTTTATTTCTTCATAAAAAATGATGAGTATGAACAATTATATACCGTCAAGTACATAACTATTCAATGGGCCCGAATTCTTCTGATTCTTCAGGCGCAGTCGGGTACAATTGTTTCCACTTTTGATCAATAGCTCTCCACATATCACTAACATTTATAACTTCTAACTTTGAAATCGTGAATTCCTGATTATTTTCCAGTGGAAATTCTTTTTGAATAACAAGACCAGCTAAAAATGCTTTGGCTGGATTTTCTATCGAATTACAGAATAATGTAATTGTGGGTGATTCGTACATTGCTTCAGGTAAAAACTGTGAATAAAAAATTGTAATTAAATATAATCTTCATTATAATGGCTGAGTACAAAAATACCCGAACATAAATATTTCTTCATTTTATTATCGCAAAAAAAAAATTTGAGTGTTTTTATAAATAATAAAAAAAAATTTGCTATAATCTTTTAAGAAAAAAATTTTTCTAATAATTTTTAGAATTTTTTTTAACAAATAAATTATAGCAAAAAAAAATCTATTTAAAAAATTTCATCTTTAGAAGCTCTAAAAAATTATAATTGCAATTTTTTAAAGCTAATTTATTTTTAAAAAAATTTTTCAAGCATCTGATAATATTTCAGTCATCCTTAATTAATAAAAAAAAACTAATTTATAATATTTTAATGTACCTCTGTTTGATTATAAGAACATAGAAGCGTATTTTTATCTTTTGAAAGCAAACAAGGTCCAACACTTACATTGCGATAACTTCCAAAAATCGGAACTGAGCAATTACTAAAGTCAATATCTTCAATATTTTTATTTAAATGAACTATTTGATATCTTTTGTTGTAATAGAGCGGGCGTTTGGTATATAGACTAAATGCCATTTTTGAAATATTACTCTTGATGCTAAAAGGAACGCAAGGTTGGTTGCTAATTATTACAGCAAGTCTACGCCTAGACGCGTCGTATTTTTCACTCATATCTTCATGAAACGAAATATTCCTTCTGTCAAATGTCGCGATACTAGGAAATCGTGATCCGTACATAGATTCCCAATTGATCCAGCTTTGATTATAATTGAGTTGGTGAGCAAAACTATTAATAATTTTTATCAGTAATTTACACATATTGAAAGAAATTTATTTTTTTAAAAATGGACATTATTGTGACAATAAATTAATTTTATTTCTTAGCTGAAGAAATAAAAATTTTTTTTCACAGTAATTTTCTTGTTGAAAAAAATTTTTTTTATTTAGAAAAAAACAATTTGCAAATTTTCATCAAAATAATTTTTTTTTTGCAAATTTAGAAAAATTTTTTTTCAAGAAAAAAATTATTGTGAGAAGAATTTTTATTTCTTCAGTTAAGAAATAAAATTGTTTAAAATTTTATTAGACTTTTATGACAAAATTGTTCATTCTTTTTTTTAAATAAATTTTTTTTCTAAGTGTATTAAATAAAAATAAAATTTATAAAGACAATTTAAGAATTTTCATCTAAAATTTTTTTTTTTGCAAATTTAAAAAAATTTTTTTCAAGAAAAAATTTATTGTGAGAAAAATTTTTATTTCTTCAGCTAAGAAATAAAATTATTTAAAATTTTATTAATTTCTTCTTACAAAATTACTCATTTTTTTTTTAAATAAATTTTTCTTCTCAGTGTATAAAATAAAGATAAAATTTATAAAGACAATTTGAGAATTTTCATCTAAAATATTTTTTTTTTGCAAATTTAAAAAAATTTTTTTCAAGAAAAAAATTACTGGAAGAAAAATTTTTATTTTTTCAGCGAAGAAATATAATATTTCATTGATTTCTAATTACATTGCTCATTTTTCAAAAAAAATTTTTTTTCTCAATATATAAAAAAAAAATTCACACCTTATTATACATTCAGCGTCAGCTAAAAATATTTTGGGCTTAACTGGTACTACCAGACAATCTTTATTGTAACTATTAAAATTTACAAACCACTGATAGCCATTAAAGTGACGACTATCCCATGCTTCTTCTTCTTTTTCTTCTGCAATCACTAAAACTGACCCAATGAATAATAAAATAAAAATTGTAATCACTTTTATCATTCTCGCGTTTTTTTAATTTAAAAATTATCTAGTTTTTAAGAAATTTAAAACTATAATTTTTATCCCGCAAGTTGGAAATGAATTACTATACAAAAATGTTATTTGCGCAGTTGGTATATACTATATATATCTCATTTTTATGGCCGGAGAAACCATAAAATTTTTTACTCAATTAAAAAATTAATTATTAAAAAATTAGTTGTAAAATTCCCAACTTTTAATACAATCAAAAATAATTGTGTTTTTAAAACTAATTGTGTTTTATTACATTAGCTGTTGAAAACTTAACGTTTAAAAATTGATCTATATATGCTTATATATGGGGCATTCCATGCCAAATTGACCACTTTTGACACCGACCCTTTTCGATTTTTCTGAAATTTTGGTATCTTTCTCTACCCTATTAAAAACAATTTTCAGAATTTTTTCAAATTTTTTTACCCAACCAAAAAAAAGTTACGAATTATTACAAAAAACAGCTTTTTCTTTGTTAAATAACCATAACTTTTTTGAAAATTGACTTTTTGGGATGTTTTTTTTTTGAAATTTTTGTCTTTAAATGTACTTTAAAAAAAAAATAATAATTCGGGTTCATATTCAATGTTTTTTTTTTAATTTTTTTGGAAAAAAACGAAAATTTCGGGATGATTGACATTTTTGATTTTCGATTTATCTTTTTTATAAAAAACTTCAGTATTTTTTGCAAATTCCCTAAAATTTTCAGAGTGGTAAAATTTTTCTTTCTATTTTTTTTTAATGAAAAAAAAAATTTTTTTTTAAATGTTTGTTTTTCGTTATACCACTCTGAAAAAAATCATT